TTGTTTGTGAAAATTATCTTTTGTGTATTCTAGGGTGTCTCATTAGAGGGGGCATGAGAATCATTAATGTAACTTCATCTATTCTTTAGGTACTTTCACTCTCAAGAATCTAATTCCTACTATCGTTCCTTCCCTGTGGAACTTCTTGAATACACGGATACCATTCCTTCTACTCTTGAATATACCAAATAAATGATCTATGATGATCCTTCTCCATCATCAGTGACTATTACCTGACTAATTTTCCTCTTAGTAATCTTTTAATTTTCCTCTGCTTTAGCGATCTCTCTTTGCTGACCATTTTGCTTTACTATGGGTTTCTTGAAGTTGCAGACCTTGGACCTTCATTCCCAGTTTATGATTATTTTCTTAGAAACATGGTTTACCTTCAAGTTTCAGCTACAGTCAATACATAAATGAATTCAAAACTGTAATTTTGATTTTGGTTCTCACCTTCTTTACAAAATTTGTGCTCAATTTTCTTTTTCTTTTTTTTAGATTTATTTTATTTGTTTTTTTTTTTAAGTTTTTATTTATTTATTTGAGAGAGAGAGTGCAAGAGTGATAGCAAAAGCAAGAAGAGGGAGGGAGAGAGACAAGCAGACTCTACTGAGCACAGAACCCATGCAGGGCTCGATCCCAGGAAACTGAGATCATGACCTGAGCCAAAATCAAGAGTGGGACGTTTAACTGCCTGAGCCACCCCGGTGCCCCAGTGCTCAATTTTCTGTTGGAAGTCTTTACTTACATAAATAACATGAAACTTGACATCCAGAAGCATGTAACAGTTAATTTGACTTGGAATACTGTGAAATGGAATGAACATAAAAGTTGGGTTCCAAAACCTGGATTTCATTCCCAGTTCTACCACTTGCTAGCTGTGACCTTATGCTCACTGAACCTTAGTTTATTCATCTGCAAAACAGGAATATATTATGTGTCCTACTTACATTATTGGGTTGTTGTGATGATCAAATGGGATAATCAATGTAAAAAATTTTTACCATAAACATGAGTTGTTGCTCTCTTTTGTCCAAGGTTAGAAAGTATATCTCTGTCTATATATTTGCCTATCATTCTCAATAGCATAACCATTTTGCCAAGCTTGAGATTATGAAATATTTGATATCTTTGATTTCTCTTTAATTCTTCTGTCATTCCATGTCCAGGCTATACATATACATGCATATTATATATATATGTGTGTATATATATATATAAATATACACACACACACATATATATATATATTTACACACACACACACACACAAAGTTGATAGATGATAGCTAGCTAGCTAGCTAGATAAATAAAATTTATTGTAAGTAGTTGGCTCACATGAGTACGGAGGCTTAGAAGTCCCAAGATCTGCAGTCAGTAAAATAGAGGTCTAGAGAGCCAATGGTACAGTTCTAGTCTGAGTGTGAAGGCATGAGAACCAGAAGAATTGATGGTGTAAATTCCAGCCTAAAGCTGGCAGTCTTGAGACCCAAGGAGAGCCAATGTTTCAGTTCAAGTCCAAACTCAAGAAAAGACCCATGTCCCAGCTCAAAGCAGTGAGGCAGAGGAATTCCTTCTTACACCAGAGGGTCAGGCTTTTTATTCTGTTTAAGTCTTCAACTGATTGATGAAAATCATCCACATTAGGAAAGGCAATCCGCAGGGCACCTGGCTGGCTCAGTTGGAGCTTGCAACTCTTGATCTTGGGGTTGTAGGTTGGAGCCCCACATTGGGTGTAGAGATTACTTAAAAATAAAATCTTTCAGTAAAAAAAAAAAAAAAAGGCAGTCTTTACTCGGTCTACTGATTCAAATGTTAATCTCATCCAAAAACATCTCCACAGACACATCCAGAATAATATTTGACCCAATATAGAGATACTCTATGGCCAGTTGACAGTTAAGTTGACACCTAAAATTAACCATAGCAGCTTAACATAAGCTACACAAATCTAGCTGAAAGTAGCCGAATTCTCAGAATAATACAGCACTGCACATGATGCCCTTTTACCTGGTCTTCTCTGGGCCCAGGTTGGCCATGTACTGTGCCTTGAAAGTACATATTACCCAATGTCCAGTCTCTGAACATATTGTCTTTTGTGTTTATAACTCGGTAGCCTCAACTCTTATTACACCTTACACCACTAAGTTATTTAAAAAAAACACACACAAAGTGTTTATGTATGTATGCATGCATGTGTCTATGTATGTATGTATAACTTTATGAGGAATGTAACATGTCTTTTAAACTGTGTTAGTATTTTTATTAGGATAATTATTGAGGTTAGTGTTCTTTTTATGAGGTTACATGAATTGTTTAGTTGTTTGCTTCAAAGAAGGAAAGAAGGAAAGAGAATTTTAACCTAAAATGCAGTGCTAAGGCCATTTAGCAAAGCTGATGGAGAATCTTTAATTCAAAGTTCCCTATCCAAGGAATTCTTGTCTTATAGGCCTACCTTAATATTCCTGCCATGCTTAGTCATTGGTTTGGAGCATCTCATGAGAAGTATGATCTTGGTATAAACATAGTGATAGATTCAGAGTATAATAGCTGGAGCCATCAGTCAGTCACTTCTGGTAGTAAGAGATGTGGGAGGTGTATTCCCATGGCCTCTATTTCTACCCCACCCCCCAATCCTATGGCCTTTACTTTGAAATATCCTGAATTTGCTATTATAAGAATATTCATCATTCAATACCATATTGATTAAAAGTTGCATCTTTATTTCCACCTTCACTTGCAAATCTTTTGAATTTTTTCCAATCCTTCTATTTTGACTCAATGAAAATTGAGTGGGGCTCCAACCTACAACCCCAAGATCAAGAGTTGCAAGCTCCAACTGAGCCAGCCAGGTGCCCTGCGGATTGCCTTTCCTAATGTGGGTGATTTTCATCAATCAGTTGAATGCTTAAATAGAATAAAAAGCCTGACCCTCTGGTGTAAGAAGGAATTCCTCCTTTCTAAGTTATTTTTATACCTTACCTAGGAATCTTTCATCCTTTCTAAAGACTTTTTTTTTTTTGACACAGAGAGAGATAGCTAGAGAGGGAACACAAGCAGGGGGAGTGGGAGAGGGAGAAGCAGCCTCCCGCTGAGTGGGGAGCCTGATGGGGGCTTGATCCCAGGACCCTGGGATCATGACCCAAGCCGAAGGCAGACACTTAACAACTGAGCCACCCAGGCGCCCCTCTCTCATCCTTTCTAATAAGCCAGCAAGCATCAAGTCTTTTCTCAAACCTTTCATTTTCTCTAGCAGGGAGAAACCTTATATTAATTTATAAACATCAAGGATAAGAGGAACATCTTTAAATATATCCTAAAGGTTAACATACTTGTTCCCATGGTAACCATATTCTCTGTATCTCACACACTGCTCTCAGAAGCTGCGTTTTATGAACCACTGCATCACCCGCATTTTGTTTGAACATATCCACCAGGATCTTAATTGATAAAAGTGGCTTTTAAGCTTCCCCGGCTACTTCTCTTCCTGATTCTTAGTTCTGTCAACTCTACGATGTCCTTGATGCCTATATGTCTGATGGAATGTCCAATTCTTCCCTTCTTCAGCAAAACCTATAGCAGCAGTATGCAATTTTTTCTTACCAGCTGTTTCCTGTGTGTGCTCACAAGGCTTGAAATTCTTTATAATGTTTTTGACAATTTGTAATTGAAACCAGTAACTTTTCAAATGAATTTCATCTTTTGCTTACCCCTGCTTTACCCATACTGCTACTTCCAGCCAACTCAATGTTCTATTTCCAAAACCATTTGTTTTCAAATGTCAATTTAAATATTGCTCAAGAATTTTAAGTGGTCCCCTGTTATTTTATAAATCAAATCCAAAATCTAAACTCCTTTGTTAGCATTTCAAGGCTCTTTCAGGCCCTCATAGTCTATTATTCATCATGTTTTGGTAATAAAAGTAGGCAACATTTATTTACTGTTAGGCACTATGCTAAGTACTATACATGTAATATTGCATTTAATCTTCACAACAAACATGTGACATATATACTTCTATTATCCCCAAATTACATTAAGAAACTGGTAAAATAACCTGCAAATGATCACCTACCTACTAAGTGATGGAGCAGTGACTCAAAGCAAGTCAGTTTCACCTGAACTCATAGTCACTATCAAGCCATATCTCTCACTAAAGTATTCTAAAGATAGTCTTTTTAAAAAAATTTTTTTTAGAGAGTGGCAGGAGAGGGAGAGAGAGAATCTTAAGCAGGCTCCATGCCCAGCACAAGCCCAGCGTGGGGCTCAGTCTCATGACCCTGAGATCATGACCTGAGCTGAAATCAAGAGTCAGATGCTTAACTGACTGAGCCACCCAGGCGACCCTAAAGATAGTCTTTAACTTTGCTGTTTTGATAAGTAAGTCTTGATTTTTTTACTGAGGTCATGACCACTTTTCTTTTCTGCCAAGGCATATTATTTATTTTTAAATCCTGCTCAAGCCCCATTTTCTCTACTGAGGCATCCCACACTGACCATTCTCTTAGATTTAATTTCTTCTGTACTTAAGCTTGTATATGTAAATATATTTTTTAAAGATTTATTATTTATTTTAGAAAGAGAGAGAGTGTGTGTGCACAGAGTAAGGAGGGGCAGAGGGAGATCGGAGAGAGAATCTCAGGCAGACTCAGGCTGAGCACAGAGCCCAATGCCGGGCTCCATCTCATGACCCTGATATCATGACCTGAGCCAAAGTCAAGAGTTGGATGCTTAACCAACTGAACCACCCAGGTGCCCCTTGTATATGTAAATATTATCATTAACTGGATTTTGTCCTCTAGTCTGGCTATTTTTCATATAGTTATCTCCCTCGCCGACCTATAAATTCTAGAAACTGTGTCTTCTAGATTTTCTGGTGTGTCTTTTGTACCTGATGCTCTTACAGGCATAGAATAGATGTTAAGGAATGTTTGTTAAACTGATGAAAAAGCAAGTTGTTTCAACTGGAGTGAATGTTTCTTTTTCATCTTTTTCCACAGAGGCAGGAAGATTGATGGCTTGGTATTACATTACATTTGAGACAGTGAAGAAATTTTGTACCATCAGTGGAAAAGAGACTTTATTAGATCTGGTAAATTAGTTGTCACTAGAAAATAAATATGTAATGATATAGTATAAAATAATAGTGGGGAAACAACTAATTTGCATATCTCATGCAATTTAAGAATGAGTGAGCAGACAAGAAAGCATTTTCTAGTAGTGCTGTGTCTCTCCATCTTATATACCTTTGATCATGAGATATGGAATATTACTCTTTACAATAAATTTTCAATTGTATCTCTGTATCAGGGCTAAGAAAATTTATATACATACCCAAAGTGGGGATGGCAACTACCTTTCAACTTAAGTGATAATGCCAATTACCTTGGTAGTGGCTACCAAGTATACTTTGTTGAGAAAGACCAGGATGATGTGGCATGATATATTAGGCAAGTCTGCTGTGAGTGATGGACAATGTTGGACATGTGTGCCACGTACTTGCAATTCTTCCCTAAATCTTTTGCATCAGAATAATAGTAGAAATAGGATAGTATTGGTGATAGACCAGAAAAAAGCAGTGATTGTGGAGAAGTGGGAGTGAAAACAAGGTTATACTAAGATATCAACAGTGAGGGCAACTTTACAGCTATAGCAGTAAATAGAATGATTGTCATGTTGTTGATACCTGAGAACTGTAGTGGTCCTTTCTCCCTTTATAGGGGACATGAATATGCAACAAGATATTTATTGTTATTCTCAAATTTAACCATTAATTTTTATTTAAAATATCTAAGTTGATTTTTGTAATGAGATTATTATACAAAAATTGCACAAAAACTGATGAAAACTAGAATGCTTGTCTTTTTATGTAAATATTATTCTTAACTAAGGGAATCGAGAGTAGAAAATCCCTGATATTAACATTAACTAATCTTATTTTAAGTTCAGTGAGTAAGAGGATTAGAGCGGATGTTAGTTTCATGTTACAGATGTGAGAAACCAAAGCACAAGGAGTGCTTTGCTCAAAGTCATCTGGCAGAACTAGGCTCTGTAATACAAATTTCTTAATATCTAAAGCATTCTTTCCATTACAAAATTCATGTCATTCAGGATAATGATTTGCAAACTACAGAAGAGTGAATAATAATATAATAGTAGAAATGACAGCTACATTAATTGAGTGCTTACTGTGTGGTAGGAACAAGGCTGAATATTTTAAATTTTATTTTGTTAATCTTTATGATCTTATTGGTGTAGTCCCAGTCTCTAGCATAATGTCTGGCATATAACAAGTGTTTGTAAACACTTATTAGTGAATGAATGAATCCTTAAAGAAGCAAAATGTATAAAGTGAATTTTTAATTCTATTACACATTTTAAATGATAAAGCTGTGATATCCCAGGGCAGCTTGGAAAATAAGTAAATACAGGGAAAGAAGATGAGAGGAAAGAAGTAAAGAAGGGATATAAGTAAATGGGCAAATGATGAAATTTTATAGGTCACAATGATAGCCAGCTGCAAGGAATTTGCAGATGTGCAGTTAAGGATAAATGAAAAGAAAACACTGAATACTTTGAACAAAGATCCAAATCGGGTAACTATCAGGTATGGAAATTAAATATGTCTTAAATAATTTTTTAAAGGTTCTGTTTAGTTAAAATAAGTAGTAATAATAAAAGTTTTGCCCTGTGTTTTTATTTATAGATTTCCAATGGAAGGAAGAATTAAAACAAGAGAAATGAAAGTAAATTGGTAAAGATGATTGTTAAATGTCTTAAAATACTACCATTTGTGATTCATATTTATAAAACTTTTTTTAGTTTTAAAATTTATTTTAAATTTGTTTTCCTTAATACAAAAAAGAACACATTTACATAAAAATAAGGTGTCAGAATATAGATGTGAAATTAATGTCCAAAACCCTAACTTCAATTAAAATAGATGATTTGTGAATTTTTTAAATCAACAAACATTTTTTGAGAGTGTGTTCTGTTAAAGCAAGGTAATGATAGAAAAGAAAGTTAAGTTTGTCATCATCAGGAGTTTTCAAGTTATCTTGAATGAGAACCATGTGTATAAAGATAATGGACAGTATGAAAACACATATAATAGATGTATATTAAATGATAGTGGCATTCTGGGAGAGCAAATAGTAAAAGTAAAAACATGAGTGAGAGAATGCATATATGACAGTGGAATGTCTATTCTACCGAGAATGGGAAGTTTGTATAGAGGAATAGTAATTAGAAGATTAAACTAAGACTACATTGTAAATTGTGACTTTTACAGTTTGCCATCACAAATACAATGATATTCTTTTCTGCTTGCCTTAGTGGTTGATTTTCTGAGTATTTAGGTCTTACTGTTAAACTTTTTGACTTAGATGATGTGATTTCATGTGAGATGACTTTTTTATGTATTTCAATAAAACCTGTTATCCAAAGAATTTGTTTTTCCTCCTTAGGTAGAGGAGGTCACTCTCTCCGGGATACTTCCTTACATTCCATTGAATTTTATCTCCCACATGCCTTGAAGTCCTGGAAACAAACTTCTCACAGTTATATACAGCTCAACAGGCAGATCTATAGCTTGGACAACAGAAGTTAATGTTCTGTTTCTTAGCTATATTTTTCTAGAAATTCAAATACCCTTAGAGACTATATAGTCTAGTCCTTTCATTTTACAAATGAAGTAAGTAATGCCCAGATAAGCTGTGATTTTCCCAAGATTTTTTTGCAATATTAGAGACTGAGCTAGAACTAGAACCTAGGTCTCTTGCTTCTCTCAATGATTTTTTTCCCATATACTCTGTTGCGTCAACTATTGGGTCAAATTAAATCAAGGTATATTTCCACAAGCATCTTCTTAGGAACACTTTATTTGCAGCTTTAATGCTTCCATTTACCTTCCCTTAAATTGGGTCATACATTCTTTTGATTGGGGCTGTCAGATTTTAGAATTGATGATTTTATAATTTTTTATAAATATCATAATTTAGTTTCCTATTATAATTTCCCACCTTTCTGCATGTACTTGAATGTGACCAGGAAGAGAGAACTGTGTGGAGTCTTTTCTTAATCCAAAATGTACAGTTTTTTGGTAGGTGATGATGGCTAATAGTTACCACTTTCATGTGTCTCTCAGATCCCTGTTACTGTGCTGAATTTCAGATCTGTTTTTTTTTTTTTTAAGTAGATGTTAATCTTCTTAGTTTTAAACTTTTATTCTTCCAAGTTTCTGACCTTTAATTTAAGGCTGTTTTTTATTTTTCATAACTTTAATTCCCAGATCTTTTGTACTCAGCAGTAGCTCTGTTTGTTTTAACTGGTATTTTTCAATTGACTCATAAGATGTATTTTCAAATCAGTGATTTCTTTTCTTTTTTATTTGTTTCTTGTTATTATATAAGTAAGGCATAGATTAATTTTTAAAGAGTCAAAAATTTATAAATCAGAGAGTAAGTTCTGTCTTGACCTCCCCATCTTTCTTCCCCAGAAGTAGCTATTATCAGTAATTTGCTGTGCATCCTTCCAATTTCCTATTTATTTAGCACAAATATGTGTGCTAATAAACCTATGTAATGTCTACTACCAAAAAAATCGTAATTATTGTTCTTGTTGTGCCATGAGGACCATAGGGGAAGGGAGGGAAAACTGAATGGGAAGAAATCAGAGAGGGAGACAAACCATGAGAGACTCTGGACTCTGGGAAACAAACTGAGGGTTACAGAAGGGAGGGGGGCGGGGGAGGGGGTAACCAGGTAATGGGTATTAAGGAGGGCATGTGTTGTGATGAGCACTGGGTGTAATAACGTGACTAATGAATCGTTGAACACTACATCAAAAACTAATGATGTACTGTATGTTGGCTAATTGAACATAATAAAAAAATAAAATAAAAAGATTCTATATCAGTATATATACACATCAACCTTATTTATTTTAACGGCAACGTATACTTTAATAGCAATGTAGTCTATAAATATAATTTTTAACCACTCCTTTGTTGATGAAGAATTAGATGGCTTACAAATTTTTACTATTACAAATAGTGCTGAAATGAGCTTCCTGGTGTTTATATCGTATTTTTCAAAGATTTCTGGGTGAAAATGTATATACATGAGAAGATTTAATATATATTGCCAAATTGCCTTTGAAAAGGCTTCTCTGATTTACAATTCCCACCCATAGTGTAAAAAGAGTGACTATTTCCACACATCCTAATACTTGTTTTGTATCTTTAAAGTTTTGTCAATCTAATGGGTGAAAATTATATTTAAAAATTTGCAAATCCCTGATTATTAGGAGGAAATGTATGTATTATCTGGTTTTATGCAGAAATTTTAAATAGTTACAAAATCATACATACTAATCTTTTCCTTAGAAGTTCTAGGTTTTGTCTTTTAGGAAGTTTTTTCCTATCCTGTATTTCTTAGGATTAGGTTCAACTGTGTAAAACTATGTAATAAAATGAATTAACAATAGCTTGAAGAAGACAGGCTACTTTTCTTTCACAGAAGAGAGCTCAAAGTGGATAGTCTAAGGTAGATATGGTGGCTTCATGGTATCATCAGTACTTGGGTTTCTATCTTTCAGTTCTGCCATCACACATAACTTCTATTTCAAGGTCACCTTATTGTCCAAAATGACTGTGAGGTCTTCAGCTGTTACATTTGAGTATCTTCTCTCTTTTAGTAGACTTCTTGGAAGTCCTGATAACAGTTTGCACTAGTTATATGACTACCCCTAAGTGCAAAGGAGACTGGGAAATATCTTGGCAGTCGTGTGCCTAGATTAAAATTGGGGTTCTGCTATTAAGAAGGAAAGAGAGTGAATGTTGGGTAGGCAAAGCAGTCTCTGCCACAGAGACTTCTCCTATCATTTCTTCTGATACTTGCAAACCATTTTATTTTTACCTGTAGTCTTCTTATAAGGCATCTGGAGTTAATTTTTTATATGGTATAAGTTAGGAATTTATATTTTGTCCCTGAAAGGTAGTCAGAAGTGTTTGATAAATATGTTGCTATTTTCTCTTTGCCTACTGTTTTTTTTTTTTTTTTTAAAGATTTTATTTTTTGACAGAGAGAGAGACAGCGAGAGAGGGAACACAAGCAGGGGGAGTGGGAGAGGGAGAAGCAGGCTTCCCGCGGAGCAGGGAGCCAGACGTGGGGCTCCATCCCAGGACCCTGGGATCATGACCTGAGCTGAAGGCAGATGCCTAACGACTGAGCCACCCAGGCGCCCCTCTTTGCCTACTGTTTTGAAATGCCACCTTCTCATAAACTAAATTCCTAATGATCTGTTTCTGGACACTTAACTGTTAGTCTAGTCTATTTATTTTGTTGCTATGACAATACCACATTGTTTTACTTGCTATTCTTTTATTGGAAGTTTTGTGATATGATAAGGCAAGTTCCTCCTTTTTGTTCTTCTAAAAATGTTTTTGGCTATTTTTCCTCCCTGTGAATTTTAGAATCAGCTCATCAAGATCTGTAAAAAGTTCTGTTGAAATTGGTTTTATAGATTAGTTTTGGAAGATTCTTGTTTTTACAGTTCTGAATCTGTCTAGGAATATGGTATCTTTCTCCATTTATTCAGGTTTTTATGTCTTTCTGTGACATTTTGTAATATATCATTTAGTTTTGTATTTCTTGGTAGGTTTATTTCTTGGTATTTTATGGAGTTTGATATTGTGAACAGAAGAGTCCTTTTTAAAAATTGCATAACATTGTATTTTGTAATCAGTTATGGATGGTATATAAAAAGGCTACTGGGTTTTTGTTTTTTGTTTTAAGGCCACTGGTTTTTCAATTTTGATTGTTTTATCTATCTTACTGAACTCTCAAGAGTACTGGAAGTCCTTCATTTGGTTTGCAGGGATTTCCTAGATAGACAATCATATCTGTAAAGAGGGATAGTTTTATCTCTTGATTTCTAATAGTTAAAACTCTTTTTTCTCCTTAACTTGTAGGTGAAACTTCTAATATACTGTCCTTGCTTGAGAACAAACATCCTTGTCTCATTACTGTTTTTCAGGGTCTAGTATCCAGTGTTGCACCACCAAGGAATTCCTCACACTTTTGGGATTAGGTTCTGGGATCTATTATCCTCCTTCTCACTTGTATATAAAAACAGATTTGAGTTCAGGGTAGAGAGCAACCTCTTTTGGGTGGTCATTGTCGTGAATCTGAAAGTGTCTTTTATGTTCTTTGTTTTTGCAGGGTTTCTACCTTTTCTTGAATCAACTTTTGCTAACTTATATGTTCCTGAGATAGCATTAATTTCATCCACCTTGTCTGTTTGACATATTTTGTTCTCTAATAAGTTAAAAATTCCCTCTGAAAATGTAATGTCAACTTTCTAATTCCTAATATTATTTGTGTCATCTCTTCTTTTTCTTAATTGGATTTTCCAAAGGTTTCTATATTTTCATCTTTCCAAGCCATTTATTTTTCTATTTCATTAATTTCTGATTTTATCTTTATTTTCTTCCTTTTACTTTCTTTTTGTGATTTTTTTTTTACTATATGTTTGCTCCATTTATTTTGTTTTTCTTGTTTTCCATAAAATATTTAAGACTACAAATTTTCTAGTAAGTACCACTTTGGCATTGTTCTATAGATTTTTAAAATCTATTTCTATTCTTTTTAAGGGTAATTTTAATTTTAATTTCCTCTTTAAGAATTATTTAAAATTGTTTTTTAAAATTCTTAAAGTCATTCTTTTATTGTTATTTTCTACTTTTATTGGGTT